ACAAATAATATTGTATATTAAAATAATACAAATATTATAACATATTATATAATAGATTGTAATAATAAAATTTTATAATGTTTAATTTAAAAAATAGGATGCTTTGTCCATTCAAATTTACAACATTTTATTATACTTTAATAAGTAATTTTTATTTTATCAAAATAATTTGAACAGATTTATGTCAAACTATCATAATATTGTTATCTTTCAGACAGAAAATTTAGAAACTAAAACATTTAGTGACCACATTAGAGATGGGCAAATAGAATTTTCTAATAAATTTCTCTAAGAAAACTTCTAGAAAGTTTCTCATGATTAAATTTCTATATAAATTTAACTTAATCATTATACTATGGGATCCCCATATCTATAGCTATTATATTATTGTATTAATGATACATACAATGTAATATATACCACACACTACTATATTAATGGAACTCTTATTTATAAAATTAATATAATTATCTAATTAAAATTATATTTTTTTATTAAATTTTATTAATTATTCATTTATCATTTATTTAGTTCAATGTAAATAAATGAATTTTTTACTTTGAATATTAATTAAAAAACTAATAATAAAATTTAATAAATATTTATAGTTATAATGAATTCTTTCAAAATAACAAATATCGAGACAACAAAATTAATATGAGTATCCCATTGACAGAAATATTTTTTAGAAACTTCCCAGAAATTTCTCTATTATTTTAGATTTTTTTGCCAACTCTAGACCACATTCAACAACTTTACATAAAAGTATATTTTAGATTTTTGTTTACTAATTCATATATTAAAGTTGATTTAATACAAAAATTTAATAATAATATTTAAAAAATTTGTAATTTTTAATACAAAGACAAATAGATTAATAGAACTTAAAGTATTCCCACAATAATAACATATTTAATGTTAATAATATTACTGTATATTACAATCGTATTGTATTTGTATCACTGATGGCCAACCTATGGCTTTACATTAATAAAATATATAAAACATTTTAAGCGTTCAGTAATGCGATTCATTTACTTAGTAGAGAATATAACAGATATTTTTGTCAAAAAAAAAACTATTGAAACTCAGAGATGAGTGCATAGGATGTGTGCAATAGTATGTATGTGTATGTGTATGTGTATGTGTATGTGTATGTGTATGTGTATGTGTATGTGTATGTGTATGTGTATGTGTATGTGTATGTGTATGTGTATGTGTATGTGTATGTGTATGTGTATGTGTATGTGTATGTGTATGTGTATGTGTATGTGTATGTGTATGTGTATGTGTATGTGTATGTGTATGTGTATGTGTATGTGTATGTGTATGTGTATGTGTATGTGTATGTGTATGTGTATGTGTATGTGTATGTGTATGTGTATGTGTATGTGTATGTGTATGTGTATGTGTATGTGTATGTGTATGTGTATGTGTATGTGTATGTGTATGTGTATGTGTATGTGTATGTGTATGTGTATGTGTATGTGTATGTGTATGTGTATGTGTATGTGTATGTGTATGTGTATGTGTATGTGTATGTGTATGTGTATGTGTATGTGTATGTGTGTGTATGTGTATGTGTATGTGTATGTGTATGTGTATGTGTATGTGTATGTGTATGTGTATGTGTATGTGTATGTGTATGTGTATGTGTATGTGTATGTGTATGTGTATGTGTATGTGTATGTGTATGTGTATGTGTATGTGTATGTGTATGTGTATGTGTATGTGTATGTGTATGTGTATGTGTATGTGTATGTGTATGTGTATGTGTATGTGTATGTAGTGCTTATTGAAGTCATTCATTTACATGATATGATATAACAGTTTTAGTACAAATGAGTTATTGATGCGATTAAATGAAAAGTGAAAATAAATTGCATATTACTATTAAAATAATTATAAAACTTTTTTCGTAAAATTATGAAAACAAAACTTATGATTGAATTCAGGCATTAATTATCTAAATATGATATTTAAAATAATTCAAAATATTTATTTAATTTAAATAAAACAGTATATGACAATTAAACTTTTTAATTAATTATAATGTTTTATATTTAAAAAATATATTAATGTAAAAAATCTAATTATATTTTTTACAAATATTCAAATGTCAAATAAATAATTTATAGTTATATATAAAAAAAATTATTAGGATAACTGTTGTTCAAATAAAATGAGTCTCATATTTGGCAATAACTTAATGGCACCGAATTATTCACATAGTTATGACTGTTAGCTATCGTAAGACATTATTTGATGGCAATAATACTGGTACTGATGGTTGTGATGGTCTCTCCTATATATTTGTTGTCATTATTCATGTGGTAATGCATTCTCTGAGTCAAACAGACAGACCAAACATTACAATAGGTTTAATACGTGAGGCCATCAATAGAGTTAACATTTTATTTTCTATGACATATCATTGCCATTATAATAGCTGATAGCTATTATTTTAACACATGCTTGGGATCTTTGAATACACTGCTAATGTTATTTGCAAAAATATTTTACCAATTCAATTATTATTATTATTGTTATTTGAGAATTTTAGAAATATTTCATTATAAAGTACAGACAAAATTAACTTTTTTAAAATAGTAAATAATTTTTATTGAGTATTTATATTGCCATTGAATCTATTATTTAAATTATTCGCATAATTTTCTCTTTGACTATGAACTCTATAAATTTGATGATTTTTAAAATCAATTTTTTATTCAATGTGAACATCAAAAACAGTTTTTTTTCAAAAAATAGTGTTATTTTAATAAATTTTTAACGAGGAAATGGTCTACGAGTGTGCTGTCAATTGCATTACAAGACTATACGTATAACGACTAACAGTAAACACATTATGGCTCGCATTTTGTCGACGTATAAACACATTAAATATAAGTCTCAAAAACACTAAGAAATTTGGTGTTCAACAAAAAAGTAAACTCCGACAATCACATTAACTTTGGTTTATACAAAAAGTATTATAAGTGTTTGTGTGTGTGTGTGTGTGTGTGTGTGTGTGTGTGTGTGTGTGTATGTGTGTGTATGTGTGTGTATGTGTGTGTATGTGTGTGTATGTGTGTGTATGTGTGTGTATGTATATGCGTGTGTGTTTTTGTTTGTAATGCAAGTCTAAATCATTACTTACAGAATATTCTGTAGTCCAATGTTATAGCATAACACAGTAGTGTATTGTATATTTTGATATCTATGCAAAAATGTAAATACATTGCATTCAATTCATTGCATTGAATTATTTGTTGGCTCCGGTGCTGTTAAAACATTTAGTATAATGCCATCAATCATATCATATCTTATCTCTAAATGCTTGCGGCATAAGAAACAAAAACTCATTTTTGTTCATTTTATTCCCTATCTTCTCATTTTACATCACAAACACATAGAAATCAAAACAAATCTTATATTTAATTGTTTTATATAAAGATTTTATTATAAATAATCTTTAAATAATATTTTTTCATTAGTAAAGTATTTTTTAAAAAAATAATGAATATAATTATCCAAATATTAATATATGCAAAAATATAATTTTATTTCATTTTTTATTATAAAACATAATTATAACTTAACTTATGTATATAACTTATGAAACACAAATAATTGTAAAAATTAAAATATTGTTTTTATTTAAATAGACTATAATTTTTATATTATGATAATAATACGATTTTTTATTAAAATTTTTAATTATATTATTTATAATAATAAGATATAAAACATATTAATACAAATTTAAATTTAGAGCTTATAATATAAAATTTAAGTATAAAATTATAAATAAAAATAAATTATTTTAATATTTATAAACTCTATATAATTTGTGTTAAATATATACAGTACATACAGTATATTATGTTATTGATAATTATATATTATATAACTAAAAATATTTTTGATTTAGTTTTATTATCATATATATATATTAATTAATTATTCTGTTTATATAATAATTTTGATTTTAATAATTTTAGAGCATAAGTCTTAATCGATTTATATATTTAAGTCAATAATAATTAAATATTTTATCTTATTTTTATTGTAATTGTATATTATTTTACTGTTGTTACGTCAAATTTGTTACAATTCAATATTTTCATTATTTATTGTAAAATAATATTACAATAAATTAATAATTTATAGTTCATTCTATTATTTAACCAAATATATTATTTTTTAAATTATACATTTGTTTCGAGGACTCACTACAGTATAAAACAACATTGATTTTGCTAATGTCTTATAGATGTCGATCCCTGAGTTAGTATTACTATTATAGTAACCAAATTATCCGGCTTTGTCTGGACATTTATGTATTGAGCTATTTGTTTATCTTAAAAGTGTATTATTTCAAAAATGTAATGTAATTCTACAGTATTTTGTTAAAAAAGTTATTTTTGTAATTTATTTATGATGTATATTAATATTATAAATTATAAATAAATGATTTTTATGGGTTTTTTTAATGAATTAAACATTTATATTGTTTGGCACTATAGTGACAATCAATGGAAAACCGATGCAATACACCAATGGTCTCAACAATCTTCAGGATTCAGTACATCACTGAACGCATGCACTGTTGTATTACAAACTTTCTCTCTCTCTCTCTCTCTTTCTTTCTTTCTCTCTCTCTCTCTCTCTCTCTCTCTCTCTCTCTAACTGTTAGATACCGGGTCTACGAGTGTCTCAATGCTCTCTCCATACAGTTTTCACTGATTTTTCTTTACAAACGGTGGTTATCTCTTACTGTAAGAGTCAATAGAGAGTATATGACTTAACTTTTATATACAATATGTGTATATGATTTTATATGTTATTGTAATAATTGATGGAATTTAGACGTAACAAAAAACTTAATCAAATTAAAATTCATGAGAGAATTCTCAATAATTGACTAAAATGTGAAAATAGTTATGGATTACAATATACTTCACTAAATCTTAGACAACATTTAAATTCTTTATAATTATTGAGGATATGATGTCATATCTAATAAATTTATGTTTAATATTTACGACTACATCATTACTTTTGCCATCATTATTGGCAAATATTATTCAAGGTACTAATTTATTTATATATATTTACTGTAATAATACTTTAGAATAGTATAATATATTAATCTAAATTTCAATGTTTATAAAGATATGATATAAAGTACTAAAAAATTGTCAATACTATTTTAGATACACATTTGAATACATTTTGACTGTATATAATTATTATACAGTACTTATATAGTACATGTATAACATTATGTAAAATATAAATTTAGTATATAATAAGTTATTAATATTATTAATGACATTGAATATAGCAAACTTCAAATTAAAAAATATTTTTATCTTATTATTTTTTAAATTTAAAAATTTATAATTGAAATACTGTATTAATTAAAATATTTTGTTCTTAAATAACATTGTTTTTATTCAAATTAATTATAATAATAACGTTGATATTTATAGTTATAAAAATAGTAAATATTATTATTATTTTTATTTTTATTATTATTATTATTATTATTATTATTATTATTATTATTATTATTATTATTATTATTATTATTATTATTATTATTATTATTATTATTATTATTATTATTATTATTATTATTATTATTATTATTATTATTATTATTATTATTATTATTATTATAACTTAGTGTTGAGTGACAATAAGCTTAAAGCTAACAAACATAATGAAAGCTTTGATGGCATTAGTTGGACGACACCTATGCCTTCCGTTACTAAAATCAATGCCAGTATTGAGCAAAAGTCTAATAAAAGTTGGCCTAAATTGGCAGCTAATGGGGAATGGGATGAAAGAGCCAATGAATCGTATAAATCCATTAATACTTTTGGATTATTCAATGAAAATATTGCTTCAAATAAACCGAAAGTCACTTCAAACACATTCATGACAACATTGGCATCAATGATATCAACAGAAAACTATCTTAATGTAAATCAAATGAAATACAGTGACAATAGTAGTGTTGATGTGATAGACATTATTAATAATAATGAAAATATTAGTGAATCAAACACTACTGGAATACTGAGCTTTTCAAATAAGTCCATTACTAAGGGATCCATTGGGCTGACTATACTCTACTCCGCCAGCAATATATCTACTGATACTTCCGTTTATTTAAATACTACTAAACAAATTGCTCTTAAATCTACTAACACTATATTACCACCACTGGACATATCTGATGGCAATGATACTCAATTACCAACACTAGTAGCTCAGGTAGATTCCACAACTACAGTAACTACTATTACAAGTACAACTATAACTATGCCGGGAGGTCCTCAATACTATTGGACTGTAGATAATACTACCGATTTAACAGCCAATGGGACGGCCAACAGCTTATTATCAATGAATTCAAGTGATGATTCAATTGAAGTAATAGTCATATTATGTTTCTTATATGTGATAATTAGTTTTATCAAATATACAGTATATATAAATACTGATATATATAAATACAATGTATATATCAGTACATTATATAAGTCCACATTATTTACAATTTTTCTTTTGCTTTATTCCCAGTCCTCCCAAAGGACTTCTCTATTGGGATCAATGGTCACTAAGAATTCATTAACATTGCCGACAACAACAATAACTATAGACTCAAAAATACATTATAATTATAGTGAACAGTATATTGAAGTCCAATACGATGATAATGAGTCTATTCAAGAGGATAAACGACATTGTATTTTGCAACAATATAATGGCATCAATTGGACGTCTAGTGAAACGGGAATATTATCCTCACAATTATGTCCGCAGCCATACAGCGGAACTTTGTATCGACCGTGTTATCCATCGGGTAGTTGGGGTGAACCTGACTATAGTGACTGTAGACTTGAACAGCTAAAAGAAATACAAAGTCTGGTATGTATTTAACATTTTATATTACATAACACTTTATACCTAATGCACTGTTAGATTATTAAATGTATTGTATACTGAATTATTAAATTATATAATGGCAATAATAATTTATTATAAAATTCTAATAATTTATCATATTAATTTAAATTGATAATATTGGTATTTAGTAATCAAATAGACTATTATACCATTTAGAAAATTAATTATACTATTTATGATAAAATATATTAAATATGACATAATACTGTACTTATTTATTAGATTTTAATTTTATTATTTTCAATTAATATTTATTTATAAATAAAAAATATTAACATATCTGCATTGCTTTAGATTTTGATTTATTTTTTATCATTAGCAATATAAGTCTTAATTATTATAATAATTAACATATACAAATAAATCTACATATAGTTTGATTGTAATATTTATCATATATTATAGTAAATATTATATTATTTATATTAAAATACACTAGCATAAAATTTTGTTCCTAATTTATATAAATTGTCTATTTGTAGCTATTTCTCAATTTTTATTATCAAATAGTTCTATTAAATATCTGGATATTTTAAGTAATATTATATATATATATATATATATATATATATATATATATTAATTGTGATATAAACAAACACTATTTATTAATAGTAAAAAAAAGTTAATCAGGTTTTCACATTAAACTAATAACACATCAAATAAATTGTTAGTTTAAGATTTTTTATTATAATATTCATAATTAAGAATCCTTCATATTTGAAAATATTACATAATATTGTTTGTTATTTTAGATATAAAATTATTATATACAAGTACTGTATACTTACTATGTTTCTTAATTTTTTGTTTAGCTATTATTTATTGTCTGATAAAAGACAGTCATTTATGCAATTGATTTCATTTCATTATAAGAAAACGTCTGTCTATTTAATTGTAAATGAAATGAACGTATAAATTATGCTTCACATACAGTACATGAATAGTGCAATTTTGTTATACATTTAATGGCACCGTTAGCTCACATAGTATGACTGATAGTACAAAACACCATTGAATTTGTTAACAAAAAAAGAGAATCCGATAAATAAAATATTTTTAAAGCAATTTTAGTTTTTTTATTTAAATTATATTAATACAAATGTCTAATATTGACGAATATGATATATTTTTTTCATATGTTGTAATTCATTTAATGATAAATTAAACATATTTTATTAATTTGATATAAAAAACAAATAATTAAACAATTCATTTCTCTAAACAATAATTTATTTTAATATATATACATATATAACAATTTATAGATCTCTATATTAAAAACAAAAACAACTATTTTTTCTTATTTTATAGGCAAAAATTATAACTATTAAAAACCAAATATTTACACAAACATTTCAATGAGTTTTCAAACTGTATGCCGTAATGTTTTATAAAAATCTAATCTTTTGTGAGTAAAGGTAATCAATAGTATCACAAGATTTTAGCATATTTTTAGCAGTTTTTATAGCATATAATTTATTTTTCAAACAAACTTACCTTTTTTGTATACATTTTTAATTAATATTAAAGCGTTAATATTAGTGTCTCATATCAATATTTGTGACAAAATTTTAAGAAAAAAAAAAATTTGTATTTTTGTTGGATTTATTGATAATAATTTATTTAATTAAGAATCGGGTATAATATATAAATTATATAATATAAGTAAAAGTTGTTTACTCTATTTGACTTGAAATTGTGATTAATTGATGGTATTGTTGTGTATATATATGTAGATCTTATATCACGTTCACAAGCATTTAGTCGATGGTCTGTACCCATTGGCAGAAGACTTGAGTCGATTAGTAACTTCGGGACGATTTCCTCTCAGGAGTCCAATGGATAGGTTAGATGCCATCGATTCACTCAATGCTATACTGAGAGCTAAAATTAAGATCCGTATGGAAGATGAAGACAAAAATGTTAATCTAATTCAAGTCAGTCTTATATTTCACTTATATCTATACTATCACTTCATATATCAATCCCATTGCACTCCTCCTATGCCATCAGTATTATACTACTGTATAGATGTTCATTAATATTGATGTTATACTTATTGTACTTTATTTGTATGGTATTTACAGTCATTGACGACGATTTGCGATCAGGTTTTAACACAAACTCCTGTTGTCTTTACCATTGAAACGGAAAAAAATGTATGTATTTAACGGTTTTTCAAATTCTTTACCATATCGTCAACCAATTCCCATATCGACTCTCACTCTCTAACAGCACATTAGAGAACATTATTTTTAATATAATCTAATTTTGTTTAGTTAACATTCTTAACACACACACACACACACACACACACACACACACACACACACACACACACACACACACACACACACACACACACACACACATACATACATTAAAATTATAAAATATATACATTTTTGATAATATTTTACTTGTGATAACAATTTGAAAATTAAAATAAAAGTTATGATAAAATTACTGATAAAAATATAAATGACTATATATATATATATATATATATACTGTGTAACAATATAATAATATAATACAGATGACTAACAATATATATAAAATATAAAACTATATATTTAAAATAACGAATATATAATAAAAACAAAATATAAGTTTTAAAAAAGGATGAAAAAGTGATGCTTTGAAATGGCTGTAAATAAAATGAAATGAGATTTGTGACACAATTTTATTGAAGCTTATCTATCACTTTAATAAATACTAACCCATTGTTTGATGTAATTTAGACCATAATATTTTGAAAAAATATATATTTGACTTGAATTTTGTTTGCAAAATAAACGCTACAATACATGACAATACAGTCATTGATAACACAGAAGACAGCGGAGGCTTTGTTTGGATTTCGTGTACTTTCAGAAAATATATTAAGAGCTCTGATTGTTGTCTGCGATGACGGAACCATCAGAAGAATCAAACCTATCGTTCCTTTTGCTAACAATATAAGTAAGTAATATATCAGTTAAGTCCATATATACAGTGTATATATCAATGTATATATACAGTGTATATGTGATGAGGAAATCTATAGATAAATGATAGTTAATGTTTTGCCCTATAATTCTATATTAAGTTTTTGTTTCTAAAACTCTATTATTTGATATCAATTTTCTCGCTCTTTATGTTGTATGTCATACGATGCCAGTGCCTCTTATGTAATGTTTTACTGATAAATAAATAAATATATTGTATATAACTTTTATTATATATGATTGTCTGTAATATTTGCAGTCATGACACTAACACATAGGACTCCATTTGGATCATTGATTCCACTCGTCCAGCCATCCAATTATACCACACTTATTAACAATACTATTATACCAAAAGTTATCATTCATCTCGAAGGTAACTATGATTAACATTATATTCAACTAATTTTTATACTATTACTTACTTATAATATACAGTATTATACATGCATATAGTATACAATAAACAGTTTCATAAGAGTAATATTATTATTAGTACTCTTACTATTAAAACAATTTATATTCACATGACTTGACTTAAATAATAATATAAATCTCTTAATTTTTAATGATAATAATAAATAGATAATAATTATTTTATATTGCTAGTTGTTTTGTTATTTTATTTTATTTAAATATAATAATAAGTTTTTACAAAATAAAATACAACATAATATATTAATTCAAATTTTGAATATAATTATTATATATTCTAATTATTGATATGATTTATTTAATATATTGTATTTATCATATATTAGACTTTAATAAGTTAGGTGTCGGTATATCTTCCGTATGGATCCGAGATATGGGATCTGTTTTGGATAACGCTCTCTACGAAGTAATCAGTGATGTTGTATTAGTATCAGTGGTGCCGGCAGTTAGTATTGAAGTGGACTTTGAAGAGACACCTAAAGTAGAGGTTGAGTTACATTTTAAGAGACCCGTTAGACAATGTGATCACATCAGTTGTGGCCGAATCAAATCTAGCCGAGAGTAAGTCATAACTAAGTTATAATATACTGTATATCTTAGAGTTAACTACTAGTGCTTTGTATCTGTCATTTGTCATTGTATTTGTTGTCTATTTATATTGTCTTTTCTTTAACTTCATATGTTTTTGTTGTTATTTTTACTCTTTTGTTATATGGCTTTCATATCCATTGTGTTATATAAATATATGACATATCAGTTGACTACCATTGCTAACAATTGGTTCACTGTTTTCTTTAATTAGTTTATGGCAGAGGAAAGGTTGTGAAACAATAGCACGCAATCTATCATCGATTCATTGTGTTTGCGATGAACTCGGAATAATTGCAGCACTCATTCATAAGACATCCCTAACCGACTCTATGGCCAACAATTCCGGACACAACCACTCACTACTGGTCCACACTATAGTTCTTTACCTGAGTTTTTCTGTGTCATTGATTCTGCTTTTAATTTCGCTTTTCTGTCAAATTGTCCAAAGAAGTCGTGAATCATATGAGGCATCATTTATCCTCATAAGTCTAGTGTCATCATTGATGGCCATTCAGCTGATGTTCCTCTCCGGGGCTCCATTTGCACCAAAATGGACGCACAGTCACCAACTCTGCTCTATAGCTCCTCTTATTTTTCACTTTTTACATCTTGTCTCAGCATTTTGGATGTTATCGCACACCATATTTCTATACCAACGGCTATGGAAACCACTGTCGAGAACATCATCGACATCTCTACCTTTTTCTGAATCTCATCAATCAATTAAGCGATCGGTTAAGTGTTGGTCAAAGTGGTCTTCATTGCCAACCAGTTGGATCTTTAACCAACAGTGGGATTGCAAACAATTCACACTTTTTTCTACAGCACTTCCAGCACTTTCTGTCCTCATATCGTATTATCTGAATCCAGAAGGATATGAAACAAAACGATAGTAAGTGACGAGATTTTTATTGTTTTTTTATTTTAAAGTCTTTTTTATAACATATTTCCATTCAATTAGTTTTAATACTTTAGACAACTCGAGTGTTTTAAAAATAGCAAAATTTAAAAAAATATTCAATACATTCAATTTATTGTATTTATATATAACATATGCCTTTTATAATTAGATTATTTATAAATGCATTTTTCTATCACTAATAATACGCTAAAAGGCTTTTCTCTCTCAAAATTGAACACAACTTTGCATTTATGTGTTTAACTCATTTTAAAACTAAAATATTGTTATAACTTTATAATAACAACAACAAAATAGTAAATGAGTTTAAATTTTAGTTACTTTATGTTTTATTCGTTATCTTTATTATTAAAAACTGTTAAACTGTTAATGGCTTTCAAAACCTGCTATTAGCTGAGTCTAGGCCATAGACTACAATAACTAACTAATGGTAAATAATGTTAATATTATTATACAAAAGAGTTATTTAATATAGTGCTTAATGAAATTTTTTTGTTAAATATATCACATTTTAGTATAAAATTTGAAAACATATAAATAATATTTAATTTGTAAACATTATTAAAATTTTAAAACTTTTCCAAAGATATGCTATTAAAACATATGAAATGACTTCAATTTATTATACAGTATAAGATAAGTACAATATATAGGCATAAAATTAATAAAGCTATATAATGTATAGTATGTTTGTCTCATAAAATTATATTATAATTATAAACAAAATACTAAATTATATAAATTAGATTCTATATAGCAATTCAAAATTTATCGTATATTCAAACTATTTGTTTATATTAAATAAGCAGATAATGTTAAGTTTGGGACATGAATTTAAATGATGTCTAATAAAAATTCTAGATTATCAATTTACAAATTAAAATGCATAACATAAATAAAAATTTTTAAAATGATTATTTTTGTAAATGGGTTTTAAAAATATTTTATTGATGAAGTGCTTCACTGCGAGAATATCTTAAAACTCGACTGATTTCGACTGATCGACTGATGAACTATTGATAGTACAGTATATGTTAAATATCTGATTAATCATACTTTAAATGTAAAATTAGAAAAAGTTGACTATTTTTGTTGTAGCAGTCGATGCTATTATCTATTTATAGCTAGTTTTACAATTAATCAAAAAATGACCAATTACAATAATGTTTAGTTTAATATTATCTATAATTATGCCCTTGGTCATTTTAATTTAAAGTATGGTTAACCAGATATTTAACATATAATATAAATAGTCGAACAGTTGAAATCAGTCGAGTTTTAAGATACTCTCCTTCATTGCAATTCAAATGGGAATTATGTTTGCAGTCAAATGAAATTTTTTATGTTTTAGAATCTAATAACTAAATCAATTGATTAATGAACTCAATATCTATTTTATATTTATATCAGTAATAATATATAAATATATAGTTATATAGTATAGAAATAAATATATTTATTTATAATATTAACTAATTAAAAGTTTAAAAGATATTATTGATTTCTTAATATAAAATATGTATTATTTTTTTGTAACATTAAAACTAATACTTTAATTTTTAAATAATAATTTGTCTTATATATTACTAATACTGTTTAATTATGTGAAAATAAAATTATAATAAATTAAATAATTAGTTTGGTTTATATTCAATATTTATTTAGATATTAATATATTGTATTTATATTTTTATGTGCTACCAAAAAATTTTATCGTTATTCTTTGCTTGTATTTATCGTTATTCGTTCTCAATTATTCTTTGATATATAGTATAAAATAAATGCTATTTTAATTGAAAAAATGTTACTTTATTATTGTCCAAACGTCATATTTTTATAAAATTCTACTACTTTATGATTTTAAACATAAAAATATAAAATAAACGAAATTCTGTAAATTAATTGGTAAACAAAATTTTTAAAAAAATTAATTAAGTAATAGTTGTTATTTATTTAATTAATTAATTTTTGTAATTACAGTATACTAGAATTAAATTTTGTATAATATACAGTGTATATATATATACATACAGTATATTGTCATATAATATAATATCATTGTGATATATAATCATTAGTGAAAATATAAATTGTAATTAATTTAATATTTTTTATCAAGTTATATACAATATATTTATTTTTTTATTAATTTTAGATTTTAAACTTTAACAAATATTTTTATTTAAAAATTTATTTAATAAATATAGATTTTGTTTGCAATTATTAAATTATTAATTATAAGTACAAAATTAAACAAATTAATATAAAAGTTTTAATTAATGATTAAAATAATTCGTTATTAAATTTAAAAAGAAATAATTAAGAAAATTAATGACAGCTTTTAAGATCAATTGTTTAAATTGCTTCCGATATGATGTATAAAGTATTAGCAAAATTAATGGCAACCCATTTGTCTCCTAATAAATGATTTATTAGCCTTATTTTACTTATCTTTTATACAGTAATACTTTATTATGTGTCTATTGCACAACCGTTTTATAATAAATTAGTAAATGTATAGAAATATTATAACATAAATATAGTACTGGTATTCAAATATTTAATATGAAATTTTCAATGCAATTCCTTGGGGATAGACCTGAATGTCTATGTAATATCAATACTTTATATCTATATAAAATCTACTGTAGATATGCTATTATTATATTAATACATCAGTGTATTATGTTTTTGCATTTCAAATGACTATGTTTTCATATGTATATCAATAGAGCGTTACTGAAAAATTCAATTCAAATGAGATAAAAACAAAATCTAATATAAATAAATATTAAAGTTATAATAGTTTTAAAATATTATAATTTACACAAAGTTTATCTCACCATAAATCAATAAAACACTCGATAGGCAATACTGTAACTCAAAAATTGAGATTCAAAAACGTAAATATCAAATATATTTTATTTTAAAGAATAAAATATTACTTTTTTGTATTTGACTTTAACTATAGTAATAATATTCTTATTATAAGTGTTGAGATATATTATGATAAACTGGAAGAATGGGGAATACATGAAAAATAAAAATATATATTTAAAGTATTTATTATTAAATTCTGTTTATAATTTCTATAATATTTTCCTAAATATGTCATACAATTTAGATATGTGTCAAATGTTATTTATATATATATATATATTTTTATCTATAATTTAATTCTAAAAAATTGAAGTATTCTCTCGTTATATTCTTAATTACTTTATTTTTATCTATTATATTGTAGTTAATAAAAAATATATAATTTATATACAATTTTAATAAATTATGTATATAATATGTATATTTATATAATTAAATGCTAAATGCTATCTAACAATTTGTAGCTATTAAAGACTCTATAAATAAATTGAATTTATGTATGTCTCTTATATTATAATATTTTCTAAATTTACACAAAGTATAGATATATACTGAATGAATATTATGTTTGTGCTTAAAATTTATATTAAAATATGAACTAAATCTCTCTCTCTCTCTCTCTCTCTCTCTCTCTCTCTCTCTCTCTCTCTCTCTCTCTCTCTCTCTATGTGTGTGTGTTTGGTAGCATTAATCCAAATGCGAATGAATATAATTTCCATAAATTCAGAAATAATGTTAAATATAAAGAAAAGGATAGAAAATATTTGATATGAAGACTATGTTTTATAGCAAATAATTTACATAAATATCCTTAATATCATTGTGTTATATACAGTATAATACTATGAAATATAAAAAAGAATTGATGGAAAAGCGTGTTATGTATTGAATGTTAGATTTAGAAATTATATAATAATAGTGTATATGTTGTGCTACCGGTGCTCACTATAATGTAATGTTTATTTTGTGTCTCAATTAGCTGTTGGATGTCGATTGAGGGAGGGATGCAATACTCGTTTATAGTGCCTGTCTCTACCCTTATTCTGGTAAGTTTCTCACGTTTTCATTCAATTTTTATCAAATGTTTTTCACAACACACACACAAATTTTCTCAATTCAAACACACAAATAGATAACTATAATATAATACAGTGTAATATACAATGTTTTGTGGCAAACATTTAGTGCTTTTGATGTTTGATGAGTTTTAAGTGCAACACTGCCATAGTATACAATACTATTCAATATAATGCATGTATTGGTTGGTTGGCTAACATTTTTTGATGACTTCAATTGCAGACAAATACGGCTATAATGTTGTTAGTGTTGAAGCGTTTTTTTGAGACCAAGCCATTGACCCACAAGAGGGAGATCGACAAAACCCAACCCGCTTTGAGAGCCGGTGTCACTCTTTTGCCTCTATTTGCGGTCAATTGGTTTCTCAGTGTTTTGGCACTGGAGGACACCTACACCACATCATTCCAGTGCATATTCGGTGCATCAAATCTGGTCCTCTCTTATATGGTATTTCTATTTCACTGTTACCAGAGATATGATGTAAGTATTAGATTCATATACTATTGACATTCAATTATATCTATACAATACATTAAACAACATTATTATAAAATTTATATTCAATTTCAGTTGAGAATTATTTTCTATAGAATTATTTATATTTGTGTTTATTTATTGAGTAAACTTAACAAAAAATGACTTATATGTTAGTGAACTGTCTTTTAGTGGCAATAATAAAAAACATGAATAACTTACACATAAAAGCATTAATTAGCATAAAAATGAGACAAATATTTTGTTGCTTTGTAAATGGATATACAGTACATTACATTGCATTAACTTTACAGTTAAATGAATACATAAGAGTGAGACTATTTGGTGCCAAACATAAGCAAAAGTCAACTCTCAGACTCAAGAAGAACACTCCGGGATGTGGTCTGAGAGTAGACATCCCTCGTCTCTGTATTGGCGACGACCCGGACGTCATATCAGTACCGAACTCAGCAAATAGTGGCACATCTATTGACTGTCAACCACTTCTCATGCCTTATACCGGCGCTTCACAAACATCTAACATTCATTATAAACAAAAAGAGTTAATACAATAAATACTATATATTATTATTTTATTATTATTTGAATAAATGTACTAATATTTATATACCGCTATTCTTGAATTAAAAGTATAATAATTCAAACAATTATAATATAAATTAAAAATATAGTTTTTAATAATATACATTAATTTATTAAATTACAAAAGTTGCAAACACATATTAATTTGTTAATTGTGATTTGCTTGTTAAGCATTAAACATGCATTATATAAAAATGTATATTTATTAATATACCCATTATTATTAATAATATTACACAAAAAACTATAAATTTATCAATATTATAAGTTAAAATTGTTATTATAATATTATGTTTGTGCAATAACATTAAACTGTATGTACTGTAATTTTAACATATTTTTTGTTTTTATTGCTAATTATAATGCAAATTCTATTATAAAAGTTTTAAAATTTAACAATTTTTGCAACATTAAGCAATTAGTGTTGCTTTCAAATGGTTTTTTAGCACATTATATAAGTTATATATAACAGCTCAACATTTTATATATATATTTCATATTAATTATTATTATAATGTTTGTTAATACCATTGAAATTATCAAAAATAAATTTTTACAAAATTTGTTATATAATACTATATTACAGAAAATGTATATTAAGTATATATAAGTGATTGTAAAATTGCGATTAATTTTATTTACTTTAAAAATCAAATTAACAAGTGATACAGTGATTGTACAAAATACGCGGCCATAGTCTACATCATTGAAAAACAGTGCAGTAGTTGTTGTAGTGTTTAAGCCCTAATAACATAGTCTACGCAATGAATAGATGTTTAATTTGCATATTTTCTCTACAATTTAATCAATAGTTTCATTATTAACATATATTTGGGTCTGAATTTTTCAATCTTGAGTTTACAGTCAATGTTTTATATTATATGATTTTATGATATTATATGAAGTATGTATAGTATTATATATTTTTATTTACATAGTAGTAGATATATAATGACTGATTAAACTCTATATTGTTATATAAAATTTAAAAAATTATTATATAAATATTTTAAATAACATTTTTATGATCATCAACATTATTTTCATTATTAACATTTAATTTATTTATATAAAGCATATACAATATGCTTATATTAGAAACTTATATATAAAAATATGTATATAATAACATTAATCATAAATTGATGTATTTTTTTGCTTTGAAAAAATAAATTAAAATAATAGAGAATTTTAAAGAATGAAATATATTTGTGTCTAAAATATTTGAATTATAATACGAATAATATTGAATTATTAAATAAAATGGGATCAAAATTTTATTGTTGCATTTTATCTTAAAATAGATTTATTTCAATTTATTCACACAGAGAACAATAAAGAGCTCATTCAAAGGTAAAAAATAAATGAAATTTTGTCACATTTTTATTACTTTAAAAAGCATATAAATTACACAATATTATAGAAAATTACAAATATATATATATACTGTATATATATATATTATTTTTAAAGTTTTTACACAGAATATACTGTTAGACGCAGTAATAGAGTGTTAGAAATATATTTTTGTAAAGTATATACTGTACTATATTTAGTGATAAATATTATATTAGTAACAATTTATTGATTAAAATACAGTAATTCTGAAGATATTTTATTGTTAAATACTCTTTAATAAGTTATAAGAATATATTTTTAAGACAGAAATAGAAAGATAATGTTATAAATAAATACATATAATTTTTTGAATAATAAAATTTTATTTTAAAAGAGATTAATATATAATTTAATATTCAAAATAATTATCTAATTTTACTTGATAAAACACATGATACTTATGAAAAAATACGAAAAAATATATTTTAATAATAAAGTTTTAAGTAAATGAACAATTTATTAAATAATGTTTTATATAAATAATTAAATGAATAAAAGGTGCATCAATTATAAATTAAACAAAAAATAAACAATAATATTTGTCGTATAGATAATTAAATTAATAATTATAGCAAATAATTTTTTTGCATAAATCAACACAAAACATAAAATTAAAGTTAAAAGCATAAAATGTGATTTTATTAGAAATTATATAATATTATTTAATTAGTATTTATTTTTTAATAAGAATTATTGATGTATTGTATCATAAAATCAGAATTTTTGATTTCCCAATAAATAAGTAAAAGGATTTGACTGTATTTTATGTGACTACTGATGAATACAATAAGAATCGATAATTTTATAAATAAATTTATTTATATTCATTTGAAAGTTATGTATAGTAATTATATCCTATAATTTAATGTCGACTTTAATTTTGAAGCATTGAATTCTGTCAAAAACACGAATACATTATTTGAATACATACTAAACAATAAATTTGAAATTATTAACAAATTTTATATCTATTGTCAAAATAAATGTGAATATTGCAAAATGTAAATGCAATTTATATTTGTTATATAAATAATTGAATATTCTAATAATCAGCAAAAATAACAAAATCAATGATAGCTATTATCTCTTAAAATAGACTATTTTTATATTATATTGAGTCGACAAATATAATTGATAGGATAGACTATTTCGTTAATATATTAAAGCATGATTTAATTACTTGAATTACTGTAAATTTATTCATTTTTAATAAACGTTTTTGTTTCGTCAATACTGTATACTAATAATTGATAATAAGTTTATTATCGATTTGTATAAATTATTTGTTAATTCATTAAATATTTAATTTATAAAATTTATAACTTATTAATAGTATTTAAATATATTTTTCTAACTTAACTATTAAAATATTGGTATTTAAATATATATATATTATATATTATCACATTTTGAAAAATACATGATTAGCTATTGAGTTGGATATTGTCCTCTAGACTCGTATCGTGTCCTCTAGGTCGTAAGTTCGAACTAGAGATCGGAACCTAAACGGTTTCGGTTCGGTTCCTAAATTTCGGTTCCGGTTTTCATAACTATTTTAGTTGTAAAATAAGTTTCTATTTATATGGTTTTGTTAGTAAAAATATTTTATATTATAATTATTCGATTATGTATTTTATATGAAAATAAAATTTAGATATTTTGAAAACTATGTGAAAGAACTACGATTCTGTTCTCGAATTTTGTTCCAAACGGTTTCGGTTTGATTCATGAAATATACTTCGGTTTCAACTTCTAGTTCGAACCTTCCTTGAGATAGCATTACTTTATTGTGTGAATTAAGTTATAAATATCATATTTAACAGATCAGTATAAAAAAAAGTATTGACAAAATATGCAACAGTTATTAAAAGTAAATCCAGTAATGTATGAAACATCAAATTGATTTTTAATTTAATTAAACAAATTATAACATACATATTAAATATTACATTAATTATTTCTACTTTGATATTTTAAAAAAGTTTATTAAATGATATAAATAATTTCAACAAACTTTAAATCATCGCATTTTAAAATTCTGATTTCATCTTTGATAAGTAAAATAGAATTGTATAAAAATCCTAACTTTTAAAAAACTTAATAAAAATGATAGTTTTTAAAAGTTGATATAATAAATGAAAGTCTATTGATGCATATATGGGGTATAATATTAAATATAAGTTAACCAGTGTTAGCAATCAATATGTGAGGTGTAATTTGACTTATGAGAAATATCTCAGATTTTAATGTAATATATATTTTTGTAACTTATATATGATTCGTACCGATATTGTATTGTATAATACAAAATACATTTGGGATCAGGGTTAAGCAAGGTTTTGGATTTTAGGGGGGGGGGGGGTAGACCGGGGTAAAATTTACAAAATTCTCAAAAAATCTTGGGGGGGGGGGGGAGGTATTGGGTGGGGTAAGATTTTTATTGCATTTTTAAACGGCAATTTTTTCAAAAATCCAAAATCAAGAGGGGGGGTCTAGAGAAAATTTCCTAAAAATTCCTTAAGTTCCCGAATATTCCCATGTAAATTCAATAAAATTCCCACAAGTTCCCGTATAAATTCCCGGGAAAATAGGTAAAATTTCCAAAAATATAAAAAAAACTTAAAAATTAACAAAAACTTAAATTTTAACAAAAAATAAATATTTAAAAAAAAAATTTTTTAAAATTAATAAAAACAAATTTTAACAAAAAAATAATGTATTTAAGATTTAAAAATAGTTGATAAAAGCATTAATAATACACTATGAGTTATTTTTAGTATTTTAATAATTTTTAACTTTTAACATAATTAATTTTTTAAACACTACTTAATGTTTATAGTTTGTTATATATTTTTATTTTTATACAAATACTGACTGAATACTACTTATTTAACTCAAATTTCGTTAAAGTTTAATTATATTAAGTACAAAATTGAAAATATTTTTAAATTTTTTATTTAAAATTTAAAAATTATTAATAAAAACATAAGTATTTTTTGTTTTATTAACTTCTTAAACTTATATTTAAATTGTAATATGATTACTCTTTTCAACAAATAGGTAATTTTTAATTTTTTAATTTATTTTAATTAAAATAATGTTATTTTTTGATGACTTTTAACGTTATTTTAACTATTTTTAATCAATAATTAGATTTTTATAAATATTAAAAACATAAAAATACTTATTAAAATAGTATTAACTAAAATTAAAATTTTTATAAATTTTAGGGGGGGTCATTTCTCCTCGTTTTTTCAATTTGGTCAAAAAGTCTGGGGGAGGTAAAATCCCAATTTCTCGATCTTAGGGGGGGGTATTTTGGCCTTACCCCCCCCTTACTTAACCCTAATTTGGGATATAATAAAATTATTCTAAAGGATAGTCGCATTTTGGATTCAGAAATAAAATTTTCTGAAAATTTTATGCTCCGTCATGTGCTGATCATGATCATGATCATGGTCAATTTATTGTCAACTAACCCATGTTAAAACTAGTCAATTTACATAGGGGCTTCAAAATATATGATATACTACCATGTTTATTTACTGTAATTTATATATTTTGCAAAAAACACATTCTATTAGAATGATGTTGT